TTTATATTTCACTTTAATCTTAGCTTAATAGAAATTTCTTCAACATTAATAAATCTCATAAATTTCATGTTATTCTCATTTAAATATCCAAGATCAATATTCTTAATCAAACTCTAATACACTACCCATAGTTATAACCGTAGAGCATCTAAGATCATAATTTAAGATAAACATCGGTTATAAGGAAATTACAAGGAAATAAGTCACACGGTCAAGGTGTTGACTTCAAATCAAATAACCAAGAGGAAAAAAATGAGCAATCCCTCAATATCCTACAAGGTTGAAGTAATGAGAGGTGAGTAAATCGTAGCTTAATGAGTAGAAATTATATAATGTACTAAGGAAGAAAAACAAACCGCATAAGATGTTCTTAAATCCATGTCAAAATGCAATGCTTGTTTCTCAAAACACATGCATATTGAAAGCACATCTTATATCACAAATCAAATGATTCAAAACCATTTCGTATCAAATCATCAATATTTTTCTATACATATACCATACTCATATAAAAAACACATATATAGGTTTTATGCACTCGTGAAGTAATAACGTATCATTAGGTACAAACAATAAAAGGTCACGCATCCCGTGACTAGGTTTCTACATGTTGATTGACATATGGTCTAGCACTACACCTCTCCTACTAGATAGAGCCTTATATCATTGAGCTCAAAGGCTACCCCCTAATAGCTAAGTTCCCCAAGTTCTCGAAAATATTTTTGAAAATCAAACATACTTATATACTTTTCAAATACAATATATGCTTTTTGGAAATTATTTGGATACTTAAAATAGTGTATTTATGTTCATCCATTTACATATTCAAATCTCATTTCAATTTATACCAAATCATTTGATACAAAAACATTTCAAAGTTAATGGTGTCCATTCCCATCTAGATTCTAATATAATTGCTTCTAAATTATTATTAAATAATGATGCATAAATGAACATACTCGAGAAATGTAAAATACGAGTACACTAAATAATATCCACTTATAGTACAAATGGTGAACCCAAGAGGAAGTCAAGATGAGTGGGATGGAATCCTCGGCTTCGAAGAATCTAACATCACAAAATGATAGATCATCCATCAATATCACATAAGAAGGAATAATCCAACTAATGAATTATTCTACAATTAGAAATAAAAGATTATCAAATAAAAATGAGATTGATTGGAAAGACTCGATCTAATAATCTAACTAAATCCTATAATCTCTCAATTGATTCTAAATAATCATCTAATCACATTCCTTAAGCAATCAACCCTCAATCAAGTAACCCTTAATTCGATTAAATGACCAATTCTATTTTAATTCATCCAATAATCACTCTATTCATATTTAATTATACTTTTATAACTTAATTCCTTATTTTCTCAAAAATTATTTCCAATTAAAACGTAAATTCGGATTTATCACTATTCATCATTTTCAACCTCTCAATTTCTCAAATTCATTCAATTTCACTTCAAATTAACCTCTTATATTACTTACCCAAGATAATTAAATATCAATGAAATACTTAGGATCGCTTAATCAAACTTTTTTTCAAATGGATCTCAAAAACTTAACCATAATCTAATCAATTCCTTAAGCAATTAACAAACTCAAAGTAATTGCATATCAATATCATCATTAACTACACATATACTTCACAATTCAAATATCAATAGATCAACATTCTTACTTTTACACAATGCTCTTCAAATCCCAAATCTTTCATAGCTTTTCAAGCTCCAAATTAGCTAAACTCCACTTGAATCCTCTAATTTATGGTCTCTAAGCTAATTTAACAAGAGTTTAGTTTAAAAATTAAAGAGAGAAATGATAAGAAATTTTTGGAAAGAAAATGTGTGAGAGAGGGAGAAAGAATAAGGAAAAGAAAAAGGATAGCAATCGCCCACTTCTTTTAGACCCGACTGATTTTTTTTTTTAATTCAAGTTATCACAAAACTCCTCAACAAAATAGTATTATTGAGAGAAAACATCAGCATTTACTTACTATTGCTAGCGCTTTACTCTTTCAATCTCGTTTACCTATTTCATTTTAGGGAGATGCAATTCTGCGTACGCTCATTTAATCAATAGAATGCATTCTCCTATTTTACAAAACAAAACTTCTTATGAGCTTTTATTCAATAAACCTCCTCCTATAGTCATAAAAGTGTTTGACTGTCTTTTTTTTTGCTTCTACTCTTACTCATGGTGGGAAAAAGTTTGACTCTAGGTCTAAATAGTTCATATTCATTGGTTATCCTAATGATATGAAGGCTTACGAACTTTATGATCCGACCTCTAATTTTTTATTTGTGTCTAGAGATGTTGTCTTTCATGAATGTGTCTTTTCTTTTCGTTAAGCCTAGTCCTTCTATTCATTCATCATATAACTCTTAGAACATCCAGTTTACGTTCTCTTTTTTATCTTCTTATTCCTTCTTCTAATATGCAAGATTTCACGTAACATAGTATGCCTTCTTCTCCACCGATTAGATCTGTTGAACCAATTAATTCTTTTTATTTTGATTTTCATAGTATTCATTCTGATGTACATGAATTCATATCACCTAATGTACATGTTTCTTCACCAATTAGTACTTCCTCTTTAGATGTTCCTATTAGGAAAAGCAACAGAGTCGAAAACCCCTCATCATATTTGTTAGAATATCATACCATTTTAGCCACTATACCAAACTCTCCACATGTATCTTTTTCTACCGCCTATCCTATCCATCATTATATCTCTTCGCTAGACTATCTTCATCTCACACAATTTTTCTTTCAAGCACTTTTTAACTTTGATGAACCATACACTTTTCACTAAGTTATTTAGTTTGCTCATTAGAGAGGTGATATGAAGGTTGAGCTTAATGCTTTTGAGTTGAATAATACATGGATAGTTATTTCTCTTCCTTCTAGGCATCACGAGTATAGGTTGTAAGTGGATTTACAAAGTTAAGCTTCGTGCTAATGGCTCCATAGATAGGTATAAAGCCGGATTAGTGGCTAAAGGCTATAGTCAGCGGGTTAGTTATGATTTTCAAGATACTTTTAGTCTAATGGTCAAGCAAATAATAGTTTCAGTTTGCTTAGCTTTGGCAGCATCTCAAGCCTGGTAATTATCATAAATGGATGTCAATAATGCCTTTTTTTAATGCTGATTGGTTCGATGAGGAGTCAATGGGGTTTGGCCCTGGTGCTCATGGAGAAGATAATAACCTTAATTTCATTCCCTCAGGGCTTCTGCCTCTACATACCGTTCCAAGAGAAGGTAGTGCTTATGTTTCTCTTCTGCGACTCATAAATTATTTATAATTATATTGAGGAGATCGTTGCCCACAGTGAAAACCTGAGTGTTGCTCCTTATGTTTTATAACTTTAGTATTTTGTGCTCTTGATAATGTGATTTGCTCGGTTTATTATAACAAATCAACGAGAGAAGGCTATATTGAATTTTCTTTCAGTTGTTGGGCAAGTGTAAGTTTTTTCCCCCTCTCTCTATACGCTCTGTGCAGGAGATGGTAAGACTCTGAACTACTGTAGTTCTGTTACAAGGATGACATCTATAGGCAGATTAATGATTCCAAGATCACCAATTGGCAATGCCTTTGAATATTCGGTGGATTCAAGGAACGACACTTGCTGACGAAGATGCTATTCTTTATTCTCAGACTCTGGATTCTTCAGCTGATTATATAAACTTATGTGCCTATTTGGTTCAAGATTTACAATCTTTCTTATTTACTAATAGTTAGTTCTCGAGTCTTAGCATCAAAGTACAAGGCAATTGTTTGTTATACATGCTGTTGGTTAGATGGTAATGCATGGCTTTCTTGTGTGACAGTTTTAGAAAGAAAATAAACAATCAATATCCCCTTTTCTCTTAGACTAGTAATTTTGACACATACGTGCATTACTCAAGTTGTTGAAAACTTAGTTTATTTGAAATAATATTTTTTAAAAAAGTTATTGGATAATTTTTATGAACATTACAAGAGTGTTATATTATTTGGCAAAAAGATACCCTTTGAAGCAAAAATATTAAAATTTTCAAGTGATAAGCTTATTATAATTTTCATCATACTTGATGATTTTTGAAATATTTAGCTTCCAATGGTTATTTGTTTACTTTTACACAAAGTTGCTCATTTTAATAATATAAAAGAAATTCATTGAATAAATTATTAGAGGTGGGCAAATAAAAACAATGAAATTAATTTGAGGATTTATGCATATAAATGAGGAAAAGTTCCTCATCACATTTTTTTTAATAATTATGTAATGGTACACAAATGAGATTATTAGGCTATGATAAAACTGTATCATGAAAATTAAGTATTTCTTTTTTTCAAGTATTTACCTCGCTTTTCCTTCTGCTTTCACTTTGTCTTGGCATCTTAGTTAGATTTTTTTTTTTAAAAAAAAAATTTATAATGTTAATCATAAAATGGGATAAGCTTTTATTCATTATCATTATTCAATAGAATAAATTAGATGTATTTAGATTTTATACAAGTTTAAGAGATAATTTAATCATTAAACTTAAATAATGAAGGTAATTCGGTTGAATCAAATATCTATATATAGTTATGTTTACCTCATTAGAATTTTGTTAGTATAAATACTAAGGTTTTAAATTCTAATTAAACTTATTAGTATGTTGTTGGACTTAATCTTATATTTTTTTCTATTCAATCAAAATACTAACATTGAAGAAATCAAGAACCCAAAAAGTTGAGAGAGAGCTTGAAGTGTAAAGATAAGAGTTCTTTTCAAATAATTCATATTAGTTAGATAGATAGACCGTCTCTATCACCAGAAAACTGCTGCTTGTGGAACTAGGTAAGCACTAGATCGAGCTAGATTGATTAGCCACTGGACTTTAGAAGTCCTGTTTCTAAAAAAAATCAACCTGGAAACTTTTATTCCCCGAAAACCTGCTCTCTCCAAAGGCCTTTGCTAGGTGAGGGAAGCTTAGATATGAAGTGTGAACGCATGCTTACTTCCGGTTCGCGAATCCCTTGGGCTGCTAACTTCAGGTCTAGGGGTCAGGGCTCTATTGTCAGGATCATGATTACTCGATTCGTTCAACTCGACCTCATTGACAAGAGACCTATCCTCTTCACAAATAAAGTGGTTATCCGATTGAAAAATGTTGATATTCGTTGACGAGGGTATGCAAGTCATGTTATACTAGTAAATAACTAGTCCTTCTCGATCATTTAACAATTAGGCTCGGGAATGGACGCCCTCCATTTTTAGAGGGGCTAGCACTTGCCTCTCTGCTGATCTTCCTATCTTGAAAAAGCACATTCAAATAAGTGCATACTTATTGTTGATGGATTTGCAGGATGTTGATTCAAAAATTCAAAATCCTACTGTTTTAGAATTTAGTGGTTTTGACAGTACATACAGTGTTACTGACCAGAATATTGGAGCTAGTGTTGAACAACACCGGGACGGAAGGGTACATGTAACTTCAGTTCAGCGAGTGGGAAACAATCTTCCTTTGGCCACCATGATTTTTCCTCAAAGAATCCTTATTTGATTTGAAAAAGTTAGATATACAATTGGATTTGTTAGTTCGTTGATATGAGCATGTTAAGTGGGTGTGTCACGTGTGCTTAGTTGAAATAATTTTTTTTTATTATTAATAAATGATCGAATGTTGGGCTAATCCTCACAAAGATCTCTTAAACTATTGGCTATTTTGATTGACACTCCTAAAGTTTTTTTTTTTTTTTTTTTTTAATTTTAATTTTAATAGTTAGACTATAGGGTATTTGGATCTACACACCTTCTGTTAGGTTCTGTTTATGTATCGCTTTTAAAAACATGTGTAGTCAGGTACACCAAATCCTAAAAAATCACATGAAAAACACTCTTTCTTTCTTTTTACATTTTACAAATAAACACTCTTCAAACTTCACCGATATATATAAGCCATTAGTCGTATCATTATGGTGTTGTTTGGCAATAATAAATGAAATGATGAGAACAAGAAAGGAAATTCAATATGTTTTCGTTCGCATGGTTAGTTGTGAGAATAAAAATAAGGAATAAAGAATGATATATTACTAGTACTCATCCTATGACAATTAGTTCCACTATTATTATTGATGTGGATCAAGAGGCCTTAGAAATTATAGAGCACATAATAAGGTATGGTGACGGAAGTTGGGATTTTGGGGTTGATTTTGGGGGTTTTAGACTTAATTTGATACAAAACGGATCAACGATCAAAACACATGAGCTATGCCCATGATATACGTGTGATTTTTGTAAAAAAAAACGTTGTTTAGGCCCTCAAAATTACAATTTACTATTCTACCAAAATAGTAACCGACATCCGTATGAAAGAATTGGTTTTTCCTATTTTACTTTGAACTTTTAGTATTTGTTTCCTTTTCAAATTACTTTAGGAATTTGACCTGAAATATAATATTTATGTAAAACGTTTAGGCGAAAAAACGTCATTTTTGCTTGATTAATAAACTTTTGTGAGAGAGTATCTCGAGTTTTTCAATTACCGAGCATTCTTTGAATCAACGGGATTGAAGTCTATTCTCTAGTATTTATGTGCAAATCAACATGTTATAGTAGATCGATATCTAAATATCAAATCAACGGTATTTATATTTCTTTCTTGTGAGTTTCCGCTATGTCAATTATATTATTGACGAAGTCTTTTTTGTATTTTAATTATAGTATTGTAATCAAAACATTATTTTGATTCCTCTATTTCTATCCTGTAATTCTTATTCTTTGTAACCAAAATGATACCTAACCAGATTCACATAAACAAAAGTCTAACTAACCTCTCTCAAATCTCATTCATTTAAATTTCATCAATTATTATATTATAACACATCACTTCATGTACTAACCTCTTTCAAACAGTTCATCAAACACCTTTAATGCACTTACCAAGTCTAATTTTTTACTGTTCTATTAATGTCTCATCAAACACCTCTAATGGCCATACCAAAATATCTTTTCTCCAAATTGAATATAGCAATCCTTTTGCCTTGACAATTCGCCTCTTCTAAACTAGTTAAAATACTGTATGTTCGTAAATTAGGCAAGACACTCCCTCTTCCAAAATAAGAGTGCTTTGTCTAATTGATTTGCTTTAGTAAAAGCATTTAACGAAGCATTATATGATCTTCTTCCAGGCTTGCACCAAAAAATCTCCTTTTTTTGAAAGCAATCTAAGGTTTCGTTTGGCATTTATGTTTTGGCATAAGCTTTAAATATTTTTAAAACAATGCATTTGCATTTCGGGTTTTAATAAGTCCATAATAAATAATAAAAACACATTCTTTGAAAGAAAACTCAATTTATCTAAAAACTATTTGGTAACATGTTAAGTATTACTTGTTTTATTTTAGAGAACAAAATGTGCTATTTTAAGAAACCCACAATCACGAGAAATTTTATAATACTAAAAGAGTAACTAATAACATATATAGTAGTTACTCTATAGATTCACTTGGAGGAGAGAGATAGACACATAAAATTATATCCGAACCTATCAAAAGTGATAATAAGATTTTCATATTCGCTCAATTTTTTAAAAAAATTTTCTTTTATTTTTATTTTTATTATTTTTTTATCTATCTTTTTCCTTCAAGTAAAGTAACTATCATCCATATATATATATATAACTAGTTACTCCATGAGCATTACCAACCATAACTAAAATAGAGTCATGTCATTGGTTGCCTAGGCAATCCAAAAACAAAAATATGAGTATCCTAAGCCATTTGAAATGTTCACTATGAAAAACAAGTCGGATGGTTCCTGCTGCACGAGATTCAGCGGAAGTAGAGATTGTTGCACAGTTCTTGTGATTGCGCTTCCCCCATGATGGGATTTCCCTGGCTAGTCTAGATGTCCCTGCCATATCCCTTTGACTTGTAGGAGCTTTATCAATGATTTCAAGGTAGATATAAAGAATGCACTTCTTGTACACGCTCTAGAGAGGAGGCTTATCACAAGGCTCTTGAGATAGAAAAGTGTGATTTGCATTTTCCTTTGCAAAGAATGTAACAACTCATTTGAGTCTCGTCAATCTAAGGGTGTTTCTCAATCTGGCTGTAGAGGGATAACAATGTTAGGCAAAAAGATGTCTTTCCGACAACTTAAAGCAACGCATTTTCAAATTCTTGTTTTAGCTGTAGTTCTCGTGCTAGAAGTTCTTTCATTCAACGCATCATTGTCCTAATAGGGGTCATATTCTAGCTAATTGTCCACATCTCACCTCAGCTTTAGAGCATGAATATGAGGATAATGACAAATGATTGTGAAAACGCAAGTTTATTTTACTCAGTATTTAATTTTTAAGCTGAATGTTTACATAAGTTGTTTATTATAGACTTCCAAACAAACAAAATAGAAAATCCTAATGAAAGTTGGAATGCACAAGAAACTAAACTATCAAACTAAACCCTTGATTTCCTTTTAAAATAAGTAGTTCTAAAAAAATCTATCATATGGGCCTGCATCAATTATTTTACGTGAATGAGTTGTGGATCACGAGTTGATGGAAATTTGTGGAGATAAAAGTGGGGTGAGTGTAAACTGGTGTGGAACTCATTGAGTTGGTTCTTCTCTCCCAATGCAATAGCCTGAAAATTTCTCCTAACCAATCTTTCTAGATCTAGGTGGTCGAAGATCAGAGTGAGTTTTCAACCAACTTTTTCTCGCCAGTGAGTACTATAGCAAGCTTATGTTGCTCCTCTTGAGAGTTTTTATGCTATAGATTTCTTCTTCTCTCTCACTGTCTTTAAGGTGGTATAAATATTTTCCTTTTAATTTGATCGATTATTTTGACTTTTTTTTTTTCCCCCACTGGGCAGGAAAAAAAAAAGGCCGAGGGAAACTTGTGTTTTTTTTTTTTTGTTTAAGGGTTCTGGGGGATACACGTGATTTTCATGTTTTTATTTTTATTTTTTATGGGATTTATAAATGGAACCTAACAAAAGGGGTGTAAATCCTAACGCTCCTAATTCAGCTATTACATGAAAAAATTGTTTAGGGGTGTTGAGGGGTGTTGATCCAAACGGCGTATATTTCAGGGATCTTTGTATGAATTAACCTTGGATATTGACATATGCTCTCTTTCTCCCTAAATATTTCTACTCAGAATCAATAAATGTAGAAGAGGAGGAAGAGCGTAAGATGATTCGTGAGTGTTTGGATTTGAGAAATAGTTATGTTTATGCGGAAAACGTTGCTCCATGGACGAAGCAAGCTGTGGAAGAATCTACTGCATCAGGGGAGAATACTAATCTCTTAGAACCTTCTTTTGGACTTGTGTTATTAACTGTACGTAGCTTGTGCTTGTTTCTTATATCTGCACGCTGTACAGAAATTCCGCCTTCATCTGTTTATAAATGCAGATAGGAAATCCTTGGTTCAGAAGAGTGCACCTCACCGTGATTTCAACAATATCAGAAAAGTTAATCTACATTTGCATCACTCTTCAAGTAGCGAAAACTCACTAAAATAAAGATAATTATCATTGATCTAAAATTTAAATATTGGTCCACTATAGCCTATTAAATTGCTTATAAATACCAGAAAATAAGCTTCAATTCCGTTGATTCAAAGAATGTCGAAGATTAAAATAAAAATGAGATACTCTCTCATAAAACTTTATTAACCAAGAAAAGTGACCTTTTTTGGCCTCAAAGTTATACATAAATAATAAATTTCAATAAAAAAGGAAACAAATACTAAAAATAACAAACTATTAAGGAAAAATCTCAAAAAACAATAAAAGTTGATTTTGAGAGCCTAAATGACGTTTTTTATTTTTTATTTTTGACAAAAATCACTTTTACATCATAGACAAAGCCAATGTATTTTGATCGTTGGTCCGTTTGACATCGAACTAGATTCAAAAAACTCTAAAATTAAACCGATAATTTTTTAACAATTTTGCTGCGCTCATACCGTTCTATGAATTTCAAAGCCCGTTGATCCGCATTAACTTTTCTTGCATGAACCAGAAGAATCTCTTGCGTTTCATCAAGTCAAAACTTAGAAAAGAACCAGATGAGGTATGTCTCTATCTCCCATTAGTTTGACAATGTAAGTTGGTTGCTTTAGTGATGCAAGACAACTTTGGTTTTACATTCCCACATAAGGATTCATGGTGAGCTAGGTTTGGAGAATTAGAGATTCTAAGTGGGGATCAAGGTAAGAGCTTGACGTATGTGGAATTGAGATTGATTAATGATGTGTTATAGGAGGATTTGGGACTGTTACTGTAGATGTAACTAATAATCAGATATCACTGTAGAAAAAAATAAAGAAGAAGAAGAAGAAGAAGACAAGTGATGCAGGACAACTCAGCTTTTAGATTTCTGTCCTAATAGTGTTTTATTAGACTTGGAAATTGGAAAAAGGTTCTACTTATAAGTGCTCGTTTTATATGTTCCGAAAAGCCTAATAGTCTTAAGCCAGATAAGAAAGGAAAACACACATGATAGAAAAATCCTAATTAATATTCAAACTCGAAAAATAGGACCAGATCATTTTTGTAAGAACAGGAATTTTTTGGCAAAACGCACTTCTAACTTGACTCATTTTTCTCATATGTTATTTATGAAGAATAACTTCTGAATTATGACTCAAAAGTTACTTTTGATAATTCCTGTCAAACGGACTCAAAATTTTAACTCTAGATGGCTTGGTTTTGATTTTCCAAAGTAGATGAATCTTCTATAACCATAACTTAACCGCGTCACCAGTTCTTGTTTTTTTTTTTTCTTTTCCTAGAAAACTTGATCTTGAAATTTGAAGTGTTCTAGTATAAAGCTCCTAACACCTGGAGTCTGCATTACTCAGTTGATCTTGCCTTTACCTAAGAATGTGGAGATCTTGGAATGAATTGAAATTCAATAACGAGGTTTTATAAAGTCGTGAGAGGAAGATATTGCACCATATTCCCTTTGTCACCTACAATTGCATTGTCAGTATTGTGCTTCTGTCTTGCTAACTTCATTATTTTACAATGCTTGACTGTTCGGTTCAATAGTGCTTCCATTATCTTCGCTTTCTGGTGGCTGTGTGGCGATTCCAACTATGTTTGCGTTGGATTTGACATAGCCATAACTTGCTTTTCAGCATCGCGAACTGATTGGTTTGCTTCTTTGAAAGGAATGCTTTTTCTCTAGAATTTTGTTGATACTTGCAATTGCTTTAAAAATTGATTTGCAATTTTCGCCAAGGAGTCTTCTATTCATAATCTACATCACTATACAAGTAAACATCCAATGGACAACAATTTTTGTAGATATCTTACCTCAGAAGATAGAGCATTGCCAAAATAACACTTTGTTGATATGGTAAATAAGGCAGACACTTTAAACACGACTACGTTATCCAAGAAACACCAAAACTTGATAGAGCACTTCCATTGTGATATGATATAGTACTTGATGCATTCTATCTAATAAAACTTGGATTGATTGAAAGGCTGACTGCTTATAAGATATCTTATCAAGATTAAATGTCCCTAATATTACCAACTGGAGCATTTATTCTGTTCAAACTTTATGTAATTAAGTAATATTAAAACAGATTTGTAAGTCAATTAAAATAGATTTTAAAGACTTACATGCAGCAATGCAGAAGTACTATACTAGTACTCCTAGAAGAATAACCTCTTCACTGATCAATCCAAAGTAGACAGATCTTCTTTAACAATTACTCAAGTGCTTTATCATTTCATACGATCGTTTTTTCTCTTCCAAATTTTTTTTTATGCCTTTTTGTTACTTGCTAAGCACATTGGTTTTGCAGATTGTTATATTCAGAGATGGAAAATACGTGACACTAAAAGAAATTTTTGAGAGTGTAGATTTTTAAACTTGCTCGCCAGGTACGATTTAAATGTTGATTTGTTGGATGTCCATGCTAATAAGAGCACCTTTCATCGTTTTTGATAAATTCAACCTCAAATATAATCCTTGTGGACAAAGCAGACTCAGAGAGATCTTCTTAAAGCAGGATAATCTCATTCAAGGTTATTAGCCTATTACTTGCTTTCATTCTAATGGCTTGCTGCATAACTGCTGTCTTCGACCGTGTCATTTTAGTTATTGATATCTTTGTTCTGGTGTTTGTTTTAACTGCATGTACTTGACTTCTATTTGGACCTTCGGGACTTGCTTAATTGCGTTAAATATTTGGAGTTGGAAGAACTGTTCTATTTTGGCCCTTTATTTTGTACCTAAAGATACCTATTGAAGTGAGTATCAAATTGCTCCGTTGGATTATGTTTGACTGTACTGACTTTAACTGAATTATTTTAGGACGTTTCTTGGCTGAAGTAACAAAAGGAGTTTCATCAGATCTCGAGGCAAGCAAATACCAGGTTTGCTTAACAATCCAGGGCTTGTCAATTCTTTTCGTTTTTCATTGTCTTTATTCTGAAAGATAATGCCTTGCGTTCTAAGGAGCACCTGTGCTTCATTGTCTTCATTTTTTTTTTACTAACTGTTCAAGTTTGAGAAAATATTTGCACAGTTCCTTGGCTCTGCATCAATGAACCTTGTGTTGCTATTGGATGCCATATGGCATAAGCCTTTGTTATCTTGATTTTATTGACATTTGGATCTTTTAGCATTTTGGGAAAATTATAAGTAACGGTTTTGAGTTTGCAGTATGGGGTTTTTGGATTTAAGTACTTAATCTTGATCATCTTGTTGAACATTGAATATGAGTGGTGAATGAAGATGCTCAACAGAGTTACATAAAAACTGGACAAAAAATCATCATCCTGCTATTTTGGGACAGCTTTCGAATTATTTGCAACATGCTGAAGAACTATACAGGCATTTGTAATCATCCTTTTTGTTGGTCCTCAACAAAGGACATTACTGGTTTGGGCTCTATGTAAAACTTATTTGGGTTTTGTCCTTTAGACCCTAAGAAGCCATAGCGTTAAGTTGGATGGCAGTTTCAGTAGTATTATTGCTAACGTTGCTAGCCTGTAACTGTCGGTTTGGCTACTGGTTGTTTCTAAAATCAGCCTTCTGTTTTTCTCTCTTTCCATGCTCTGGAGCAACTCTTTTTCTTCTCATATTTCCATGGTTGGCTTAGGCGGACCGCCTTGCAACCATGCCCATGTCCATTGATACTAGTTGCATATCTCTTACCTCAAGCTATTAGTTACTCTCGTTAGGCTCCTGCATCCGTTTTGATTATATTGCCTCCAATGATTATGGATTCATAAATATAGCTGAAAGCTAAGTTATTGACATGAGTTTTGACAAAAAAAAATTGTTTTTTTTTTCGTGATTGACACCAAATTTTCTCATCCAATAAATTCAGATGGCCGAGTACAGAGTATCCATATATGGGAGAAAACAGAGTGAATGGGACCAGCTGGCAAGTTGGTTTATTAATAATGCAATTTTTAGCGAGAATGCTGTTTGGTTGATCCAGGTAATTTGCAATGCTGTGCTTTTTCTTATGCAAGCTGCGTTGTTTTGTGTTTCTAATCATTCATCCACCCCACAAATTAGAGCGGTCACTCCTGAGCATGATGATTCATACCATTAGAATTTGTTTACTCAAAACTTTGGACCATGAGAAACTTATTTAAACACAAGATAGTTTACGTTAGGAAGAAAAAATGGTTTATATTGGAACGAAAGAATCTAACCCTGGTTGTTTTTTAGTTACTTGAACTCTGGAACTATCATGAGGCATTATTTATCTGTTATTAGAAATGAGTGGAAAAAAAAAATGAAGGTGCTGCATGAGTATCACACGGAGCATCACTGTTCCAGGCAAATTTAAGTGTTTTAGAATCAACAAGATTGTCCTCACTGCTAACAATTCATGAGTTTCCTTGGAGTGAAATTTTTTATTTGGTTTTCCCCAGTTTTCTTCACCCTCTTTCTTATTTCTTTGTTTTTTTAAAAAAAAAAATCTTCTATGAGCAGCTACCACGACTTTACAATGTGTACAAGCAAATTGGAACAGTTAATTCTTTCCAGACTATTCTTGATAATGTTTTCATCCCACTATTTGAAGTTACAATCAATCCGAGCTCTCATCCTCAACTACATGTTTTTCTAATGCAGGTAAATTCACCTCTTAGTTTCTCTTATGTGAATATATTGTGTATTCATTATAATTTGACTCGTATGTAGCTTTTAGTGGATATAATTAGCAAGTTCTGTTTTCCTCTTTGGTCCAATAAAAATGGATTTTTTGATCTCTGCTGTGCTATTGCTCGTTTAATTTGCACAACCCAATTATTGGAAAAATGATTGTGCCTCGATATGCTGAAATGTATGAGAGAATCCTCAGAGAAATAAACAAATGCGTTAATCTTCATGCAGGTTGTGGGATTAGATATTGTCGATGATGAAAGCAGACCACAAAGGCGTCCAACTAAACACATGCCAAAGCCAGCTGAGTGGACCAATGAGTTCAATCCAGCATATTCCTATTATGCATATTACTGTTATGGAAACTTGTATACTCTTCTCAAGGTGTGCATTACTTTCTACTTTTGGTTTTTCTTTAACAATGCTTCATGCAGTTTATTTCCCTGTCAAGTATATGGGTGTATTGATGTTGATATGAGCGCCACATTATAGCGATTTCCATAATAGTATGATAGTTTCCACTCAAGGACGAGTAGTGAATTCCATAATAGTATGATAGTTTCTACTCTCAAGGATGAGTTGCTTCAATTTTATTTTAGCAGGAATAATTTTTTCGAGTAATTACTTAATTAATTGATTTACTTAGTATAAATGCATTCATGCATTGGAGGAACTCATTTTGTGGATTTTGTTGGATTCCAATATTTGCTTTATCTGTTTGTCTTTTACGCCTTCGTGCTCTTCTTTCTGGGAAACTAGAAAAGAGGACGAGGGACCATCCTTTATTCTAATCATATTCAAATAGTTTTGTGCCTCTCCATATTTTTCAGCTTCGTGAATCGAAAGGATTGCCTACAATAAAATTTCGTCCACATTGTGGAGAGGTTATTGTTCTTCTTGATCTTTCTTTTAGTTTTCCTTGGATTGCTGAGCTTCTGACAATCACTACAATATGCAGGCTGCTGATATGGACCATTTGGCTGCTGCATTCCTTCTATGCAATAATAGATCTCATGGGGTCAATTTTCGGAAATCCCCTGTTTTGCAATATTTGTATTACCTGGCTCAGGTTTGCTCAATGTGACTCGGGAAACATTTCAATTGAAATTAGGGAATATGCTTGTGATTTGCTACAAAACTTAGTTGTATTTCTAGGCAGAAACTGTCTTCCATTTAGCATGATCTTATTGTTGCATATCTTAATATATATCCCTGTTGCTAGGGGAAAAAACAGTTGCATCTGCTGCCTAATATCCTAGAACGTACTTCTGTTCTTCAAGTGACTTTGCACTAGTGCTTCCTCTTGGTGAAATTACGTGAATGATTTTGTACTGCTCAGTCTTATTTTCTTTTTCTTTTTCTTTTTTTTCCTGTCGTCTTGATTCTTTTGCAGTTCTATTTCCATATGTTAGAAAATGCTCTGTTGATTTACAACCATTACTTTTGCTTCTAGGTTGGATTGGCTATGTCACCATTGAGCAATAATTCCCTTTTCCTGAACTATCATCACAATCCATTTCCCATATTCTTCCAGCGTGGCTTGAATGGTTCTCTCTCAACTGACCACCCTTTGCAAATTCATTTAACAAAAGAACCGCTGGTGGAAGAGTACAGTGTTGCAGCAAAGGTTTGGTAGTTCTTTATTTGTCATTTGTTAATTTCAGTCTCAGTGGTGTGTGTGATAGAATTCTGTTCTTTCTGTAGGTGCGGAAGCTCAGTGCTTGTGACCTATGTGAGATAGTCAGAAATTCTGTTTATCAATCTGGATTTTCCCATGTGGCAAAGGTGAGAAAATTTAAAAATAAGAGACTTTGGATTTGCATGTTTGTAGTAAGCTTGTTTCTAAGAAAAAAAAAATTTATTTAATTTCGATCCGTAAGGGGAAACTAATGGCATTAGCTTTAAGGGGTAACTATCGAGAAGTATTTGGAAGGACATTTATTTTTATTAGAAATGTAATAGGATTATGTGATGTTTTGTTTTTAAAATAAAGCACAGCTTGTATTAGTGGGGTTCAGAGGATCCTTTCTTGGGTTTTTCCTGCAGTTGCATTGGCTTGGTAGCAAATATTTTCTGAGGGGCCCAGAAGGAAACAACATTCACAAGACAAATGTACCCAATATAAGGATTGGCTTTCGACACGAGGTATGCTTCTATAGTTCCTGGTAACATACTAGGCAATCTTATCATGGCTAATGATTGAGAGATTTGCAGACATGGAAAGAGGAGATGCAGTATGTTTTCCTGGGGATGGCGAAATTTCCTGAAGAAATAGAATTCTGAGGGAGATGCAGAAGAATGATGATGCCATTGGGATCCTTGGATGAGTTGGATTTACCAAACCAAACAGAGCAACAACATATTTAAACTCGTGTCAATTAGAAATTTAGTTTTGCAAGCAAACCAATGGCAATGGGCACCATTTTGAATAGTTTTCATGGTGATTCTCCAATTTTGGTATGATTTTTTTTCCTATTAACAAGTTTTTAATCTTATTTAGCAAAACAGTGAGATGATTTTTTTTTTTCAGGGACTCGGGTGGTATTGACCAATAGTTATGGGGGTGTTGAGTACCTTTAGAGTTTAGCCCAAAAAACAATTTAAAGGAAAAATAATTAGGAGATATATTGTGTTGATTTTCTTTTTCAAAAAGACCACTATAACAAAAGGTTTCTTTCAATGGTAAATTAACATAAAAAAAAAGAAGAAAATGATTCCCTTTTCTCTCATCATCCTCGACTTCGGAGAGGACAATGGTTGAAAATTAACCTTCAGTTTTTTACTCTAATTAAAAAAATATATATATTATGTTTATATATATATTACGAAATTGTGTCAATTCATATCTAACTCATATTCCATTTATTAAATGCCTTCTAAAAACAAGTTGTTAAAATGTTTCATTGTAATCCTTATAATTATAAAAAATAAGTTATTTTGGTTCTCCAAGATAATTTTTGTCCACAATTCTGTTTTTTATTTATAAACCTTTTCATCCTCAAAGTTTTCATAAAAATATATATTTTTTAATAAATATTTATCAAATTTGATAAAATGGATATTCATTTAATATATAATTCATTACAATCTCTGGTTACCATCAGACTCGGCTGGTCAAATCAATGGAGGTTGGGCACCTTGAGAATCGCTGCTTTCTCCCTCTTCTTCTTTCTCTTTCCAATTTTTTTACTCGGTCAAAATCCAAATCAGATGCGATCATTCATGATGCAGGTGGAATGGAAGCCCCATATTTGCTTATGCGAAATGGTGGGTTTTTAGTTTCTATACCCTAAAATGGTGTTGGGGGTTTAAGAAAATGAGTGTACTTTAGTTTTAGGGAAACACAGTAAAAGAACACTTATAGCGGGAGAGGATAGGGTAAACTTCATTTTCGTTCTTGTAAATTGATCAAATTCCACTTATAGCTTTACGCTTTATACGTTTTCAATTTTACCCTTATGATTTCAATAATAATACACCCCATCCATCCCACTTTGCTTGTAACGTTTCTATTTAGGTTTAAGGATGTCCCAAAATGTTTGTTTATTTTTCAAATGAATTACATGAAAACAATGTGGTTTTTCAATCTTATCCTCAATCATTAAATCAATTATAATTTTTTTTCAAAACATGTAAACTTCTATGTTTTTAAGATATATAGTTTACAAAATTTAGATAACTAACAAAATAATAAATATGGTTTCCATAAATTGTTAGAAATCTAATTTTGGACGAACAAAAAAGAAACATTAATGAATTTGTTATGAAATAATGATAATGAATGTCCATCATCATGTTTATCCACTTTTCATATCTCCACTACTCATGATTCTTAATATTATTCAATTTATCATTCAATATGAGAAATTGAAAGGGTGATGCAATTGATTATTCATAGTCCCTTTCAATTTTCTCCTCAATTTTGAAGCCTATAAATAGGCTTGATTATTCATTAGTTGGTATATAAGTTTCTTAGAGAGAATAAGAGAAATTTTGAAGTTTTTATCACTTATATTCACATTATAGTTATTTCATTTTCTTGTCATCTTTTTCTTCAATTCTCTTATTATTTGTATTTATTTTATAACACGTTATCGGCACGAAGCTCTAACCAATCGAACCAATGACCATGAGGTACGTATACGCCAAAAGATTTAATCAATTATTTCAATAATTGGATTTCTTCCACATAAGTGCTCTACTAAAAGATCTAAATTATTTAGACTATTAAGAGGTATGTATCTAATTTATTCATGTACTTGAAATCTATTGATACATGAAATATATATTTGAAAAACTTAAATGATCTAATATATGTTATTTGAAAAGCTTTAATTTTGCTATTATATTTGTCCTTATTTTCTATTATTATTATTATATATTGTATTATATAATTTTTATCATATCAAACCTCATAAACTTGATTTGGTGCCTCTTGATATTTTGAATAAGAATTATTAATTATGAATGCTTGATTTTGAAAAAATATTCTCTACTTTTTATATCTTGGATATGCTCCTGCGATAACATATCGAGAAAAAGAGTTTAAGAAATATTTTGGATCGATTTTATACTTGTTAGTGGCTAAATAAAATAAAAAAGAACAAATCTCATCTAATTGGATCTACTCCATTCCTTGAAGTGAATGTGACAATTTATAATAATTTTAAACATTGATGAAGATGTGGTCATAGCCATGAATATGGTCGAAATAATTATCATTATAATCGTAATGATCATAATATTACATCTCACCACTAGAAGTGGATAACTATGAAAAAAAAAGTATAAAAATAGATAAAATCAGTATTCTGAAAAATAAATATTATAAATGTGGAATGAATAAATATTGGTCGTGTACACGTTGTACATCAAAGCACTTCATTAAGGCTTGTCAAGCCTTATTGAAAAATAAAGAGTAAAATATGAAGGCCACTTTTATATATCAAAAGTAATAGTAATTGAAATTAATTACTTGTTAGTTTTTCTATTTATAAATAAAATGATTTACATTTCTTATAATTTATGTTGTATATTGATGGTTATAAATTTATTTTACTATTTATTTATTTGTTTATGTGTATGAGGCATATATTGATTTATTTATTTTGAATTGATTTATTTGATTATTTATTTTATGTTAATATTATATATGATAATAGCAATCTAATAGAAAGCTTTAAAAGAGCGATTATATTATTATCTAAAGAGATAGATTTTGAAGGCTCTAGAAGAGCGATTATATTATTATCTAAAGAGATAGATTTTGAAGGCTCTAGAAGAGCGATTATATTATGACTTGAAAAGATAAATTTTTAAAGGTCTAGAAAAGTAAATAAATTATTACTTGAAGAGAAAATTTTTAAAGGCTCTAGAAGAGTCGATATATTATTACTTGAATTGACTAATTTAAAGGCTCCGGAAGAGCAAATGTGTTATTATCCGAAAGGATAAATTTATTATGAATAATGTACTATTCTCTTCAAAGTCTCATAGAAATTTGATGAGTTTCAAAGATATTCATCCGAATTGATATCATATCAAGATAGCAAATGCGAATTCTTATATGTTATAATCATTATATCCGGTAGAAAATATCTATCAAAAATTTTTTTTTCGTTTTCTCTTCTAGTCTTTATTACAAACATTAAAATGATTGAAACAAATATTGTAGTAAACCGAAGTTTACTAATTCAAATACTTTTACTATGTAACATGACCAATTGTGTTATCTTGGATCTTTCATTATGCGAAAAATTATCAAAAAAAATTATATGAATATCTATTGAAGAGCGGAAGATTCTTCAATTTAATGAACTTTTTATGTTCTGCATGTTGCCAAGGTAAATTGATGATTAAGCCATCATCAAGTAAAATTTAGATTGAATCTCCGAGTATTTTAGAATGCATTCAAGGTGATATATGTGGATCAATTCATCCACCATGTGGACCATTTAAATATTTTTCGATTTTGATAAATGCATCCACAAGATGGTCACATATATACTTATTATCTACTCGAAACACGACGTTTTCGAGATTGCTAGCAAACAATTCGATTTCGAGCATAATTTTCAAATTATGCCATTAAAACAAGTCACCTTGATAATGCTTGATGAATTTATTTCTCAAGCATTAAATTATTATTGATTGGCTATTAAACTAAAGGTTGAACATCCCGTTGCTCATGTTCATACTCACAACGGTTTAGCAAAATCATTTATCAAAATCTCCAATTGATAGTTAAACCATTATTTAAAAATAAAACTCTCTGTTTATGTTTGGGGATATGCGATCTTATATGCGACAACACTTATTCGCATATGACCCATAAGTTATTAGAAATTCTCTCATTTTCGGTTGATTTATGATCATGAGTCAAATATTTCTTATTTACGAATTTTTGGCATTGTAGTGTATATCCTTAGTACTCTTCTATAACGAAATAAAATGGGCACCTACGGGAGATTGGAAATATATGTTGGATTTAAATCCTCTTCGATCTTTTGATTCATGAACAAGAGGTATTTTTACGGTTTGATCTATCGATTGTCATTTTGATGAAATATTTTTTTCAACATTAGGGGAGAGAATAAACAAAATAAGCGATTGAAAATGTTAAAAAAAAGATATTACATGGAGTACTCTATCTTTATATCAATTTGGTACAAAACAATGTGAACTAGAAGTTCACAAGATAATTCGTTTACAAGGTATTATAAACCAACTGCTAGATGTATTCTCATATCTTAAAAGAGTAAATAAAATGCATATCCCTGCTGAGAATGCTTCTATTATAATTAATATCCTAGAAGGATAATCTATTAATATTATAGCTAACGAATTTAAAACACGCCCGAAGCGTGGAAGATCGATCGGTTCTAAAGATAAAAATTCCTAAAAGAAAAAGACAAGATGAAAATATTTACAAAATGGTCCAATATATTTCGATCATAGGCTTCGGAAGAAGTCCAAATACTTGAGAAAAATCAAGAGATTTTGATAAATTATATCAATATAGGGAGAAAATAGGACCGAAAAGAAACATCTATCGATAAGACTTTTGCATATAATATTGCAATTGATATTATGGATGAAAATAAGGATCTTGAGCCTAAATTATTGAAAATATCGACATAAAGATGATTGGGCTAAATGAAAAGAGCAATCCGGACATAATTATGTTCTCATACAAAAGAGTAATTTTTTGAACCCATAGCTAAAACACCCGAAGATGTTAAGCTAGTGGGATACAAATATATATTTATACGAAAATGAAATAA